TTTATATTTATTTATATATTTATATATTTATATTTATATTTATATTTATATTTATTTATATTTATATTTATATTTTTATTTATTTTTATTTTTATATTTATTTTCATATTTATTTTTATATTTATTTTTATTTTTATTTTTATATTTGTATTTATTTTTATATTTATATTTATTTTTATATTTATTTTTATTTTTATTTTTATTTTTATTTTTTTCCAAATCCACATAGAAAATGCTGCCAAAAACATGGAGCAGGTTTTTGGGCAAATTTATTTTGCTGTGGGTGTTTGATCCTGAGGAAATCTGTGGGAACTTTGTCAATTTTGGGATGGCTTGGAAGGAATTAAGTAGGAATAAAGTAATTTTAAAAGTTAAGTGAAAATTAAGTAAAAATAATCCAACTATTTTAAGTGTTTAGAAGCTCTGAAGCAGATTTTGAGCTCGGCTTTGCTTCCAAAGTGGTTCAATAAAAAAGCCCAGCAGCTCCAGATCCATCAAATGTTTCCAAATTCTCTCTGTCTGATGGAAATAAAAATTATTGGCTGATGGAAATAAAAATTATCGATGAGGGGCTGGGACGGCTGCAGAAACGCTGGGTGTGCTGATGCGTTCCAGGGATGGGAATCCAGGCAGGGCTGAGCTGAGCTGAGCTGAGCTGAGGGAGCTGCGCCTTCAGCACCCGGACCCAGCGCTCCCAAACCTCCCCTTTATTATGAGCTGTTCCTCGAGCGTGTTCTTCTAGGTAAGAACAATCGATTTTTAAATAATAACTTCGTTTTAGTGTGGTTTTTACAATCAATAATCCTTCCTCAGCTGTATTTTCTTACTCTTTGAATAAGCAGGTGTTGACAAAAATCTAAATAATAATTTAATTTTATTATGGTTTTGTAATCAGTGATCCTTTTTCATCTGTGTTTTCTTATTCTTTGAATATTCAGATATTGACAAAAATCTAAATAATTTAATTTTATTATATTTTATAATAAATAATCCTTTTTTCATCTGTGTTTCCTTACTCTTCCCACCCCCTTTTTTTCTCCCCTTTTTTCCCTAAACTTCTTTAAAGGGAAGCAGACTTCCAGTGTCATTAACAAATAATTTGAATTTTTTTCCCAAATTTTCTCCAGATCTGTGTTTTCCCTGGGAATGGAGGTGCCCTTCGTGCTGCTCCTGACCAGGCTCGTGGCAGAAGTTGCAGGAAAATCCACAGAAAACTCAGTGGGTGCTCCAGGAATTTAATATAATTATTATTTTATTTTATTTTATTTTTTCTTTTTTTTTTTTTATTTTTTATCCCAAATATTCTATATTTTTATTTAGAAACTAAAAATCAAATGCATTTAGAAAAGAAAAATAAAATTGGTCTCTAACAGCAAAATAAAATAGATTTTTAAAAATAAAAGTTATGTCTAAAATAAAAATAAAATGGATTTAGAAAAATAAAATTGATTCATAAAATAAAAATAAAATTAAAAATAAACCAAGTTTTCTCCTTCTTGCTGG